TTTATCTGTATATCTTGACTGAATTTCCACAGGTAGTCGCTTATTTTTTCAATTTCAAGCTGGTGAGTTTTTTACTGTAAAAGTTTTACTTATTCCTGGAGGAAAGTTTAGCCGAATGTTTTGTTTTTTTCATTTATTTATGAGCTCTTGATGCTACTTTCAAATTGATGTGCTTAGTTGGAATCGTATTTACAGGACTGCATTTTCCTTTTTCTAACTGGTTCTTGATACCAGTGAGTTTTATTGTAAATTCGCAAAGCACTTGATAGCTGTTGATGAGTAACAGTCACAGCAGTTTATTTGGGACTGTTTTTATTTTTCGCTTATATTTTTTTTAATTACTATTTATTTTCAGCTGTTAGAAGGTCTTGGGAAAGCAAAGGCGACTCAAGACAATGTGTTTGACCAGCACGCCTCAAACTTAGTGAAACAAACCAAGGCTTGTGAGAAGTTATTTAGAGATCTGAAAGCGTACGGGGTAGCGCTAAAATCTTTAGTTAGTGCTCAACAAACGCTTCGAGATACAATTAGAGAATTATACGAGCCAGACTGGCCAGAAAGGGAAAATCTGTGTGCTATTACTCACGTTCGTAGTTTGTTTTTTCTATTTTTGTTATTATTATTTATTTATTTTTTTGGGGTTTTACTTAGATTGGTAGAGAGGTATTTCAGTCGTTGGATTCGCAGTGGGCTGAGTTTGAAAAGATAGTCAGTGAACAGCTTATGGGATCAGTGAATGCTTATATGTCGCAGCTTCCAACTTTAAAAGAAAAAGTGGCGAAACGTGGAAGGAAGTTAGTAGATTTTGACGGTGCGAGAAACAGTTATAATGCCATAAAAGCTTCTTCTAAAAAGGTATTCCTCAAAACGTCACGTTGTTTGGAGGAAAATTGTGGTTTTTTATTCAATGGTGGTAGGATCTGCTGTTATCTTATTTTCTAGGGTGAGGATGATCCTAAAGTGGTAAAGGCGGCAACTGATTTTGAAAACGCAAAGGCTTTGTATCATGAAATTAATAATGAACTTTTGGATGCTTTGCCAGCAGCTTATGACAGTCGAATAACGTTTTTCGTTGATACCCTTCAGACACTCTTCAATGCCGAAAGTACTAATCATTCCGAATGCGCAAAAGTAACTACTTTACATTTTTCTTTTGCCTCTCACGGTGGACTTTTTTATGCTGTTCACAATTTTTGCTGCACCGGGACTGGATCTTTTTTTTTTGTTTATATCGTACATTATGCTTTTTTTTATTTTATAATGTGCGAGAGGAATTTTGTAGGAGTTAATGAACTTTAACTTTCAGTATAATAAAACATTGGTAACACATTTGGATACCCTTGGAAATGCGTTTGACTCGTTAAGAGTACCTCGACCAGAATCTGCTTCATCAAGTCAGCATGAAGAAAGAAGCGCTTCGCCGATTTCCGAAAGTGCTTCTCAGCCTCAATCATCATCTCTGTCTAGCACGCAAAAGTCTGTTGGGAAAGAAGATTTGGAAACAGAGGATAAAGTTGAAAATAAAGTTTATCCGGTTTGCTATTTTATTCCATATCATACATTATTTATTTCTTTTTGTTCTAACACCACCTATTCACTATAGTCAAGATGTATACCTTCACACGGTTTTATCGGTGTTGACTTGTTAGCTTAGCTTGTGTTATTTAGAGCTTGGATGCTGAAAAAGTTGGTCCGATTAATGCAGCCCAAGTAGTTTCTTCTCCACAAGAAGAAACTGATGACATCAAACCCTCAAGAGCGTCATTACCAGTTTCTCAACCAAAAGTGAAAGATGAAGAAAACAGCTCGAAAGAAGCATCAAATCCGTTCGACGAGGATGAGGAGAAAGCAGAGGAGGGTAACTCTAAAGCGGGTGGAGAAGACAAAAAAGATTCAACAAATCCTTTCGACGAACCAGATGATTCTGAGCCAAAAACGCCTGATGCTACTGCAGGGAATGTTGAGAAAGAGCAGGAAGTGGATGAAAAAAAAGGTCTTCATGATCGTAAAGTTAGTAAGCTTAATTGCGAAAGATATTTTCCATTTCGTAGATTTTTTTAGAATTTAGCTTTTTTTGGAAGCCAGGTTTAGTGTACAGCGAATAATAATATTTTGTTTCATGAAAATTTTATTGATAGGTGCTTTATAAAGTTCGCGCGACACATCGTTATGCTGCTGAGGATACAGATGAGCTTACTTTTGATGCCGGTGAAGTGATTGCTGTGTTGGATCCTCGAGAAGAAGATCAGCTTGATGACGGTTGGTTACTTGGTGTAAAACAATCCGATGGTGTTCGTGGAGTGTTTCCTGCTAATTTTACGAAAACGCTCTAATTGAAATACGTTTTATATTGCTAGACCTCGGTTTGTTTCGTCATTCTAGTTCGGCCCTTTTTTTCCTACTGTTTTTACGAGGAGCACTTAAAGCAGTGGACATTATTGTGCGTCGTCCCTAGAGTAACCAAGAGCTACTTTTCTTTGCCGTGTTCTAGAGGGTTTTATCTTCATAAACTAAAAGTTTAAGGTATTTAAGCGTCTTTGCCTGCGGCTCCTCCCAGTTTTCTTTTTTTCCGTTCTTTCTCTTACGCTATAAGAAAAGAATAAAGGTTGGGACTATAGGATTACCACATGGTCATTGTTAGTGGTAGTTTGGACGAGATGAACGGGAAATGCTCCTTTGGCAGGCAAAAAGTCAATTTGAACAGTGTGTTAGAGGATCAAATGCGATATTTTTTGTCTAAAAATTTAGTCTATATTTGTCTACTAAAGCGACTTTATTCAGAAGGAGGCTACTGCTTTATATTTAGAGTCGTAGAGGGGAAATACACTGCGGGCTGGTTCAGAAGTTGCTGCGGTCAGCTGTCGTGTATTCGCATTGTAAAACTAAAGATGGGCGACCAATTTTTGGAAGGAAATGACTGCAAGTTTTTTCTTGGCTTATCGGAATTAAATCTGAGAACGTTTTACAGGGTTAAAATAGAACAGCGTCAAGTAGGTAATGGCGCTGCTTGTGTAACTGGTTAAGTTGTTGAACATATCAGTATATTGTTAGACTTTTTTTGTGTACTTTTAGTGTTGGTGCTGGGCTAATGGAAAAAATAATTTCTTTCTGACTTTACGGATTTTAATGAAAATGGTTATTGTTAGGCGTTGGTATTTGAAATCTTGTAGACTGCGCGGAAAAAGCAGCTGCAAGATACTTTAAAAGAGTTTGTTTGGAGAAGGCTGAATTGCTGCAAAGACAGAATATCGAGCTTTTGTCCTAGGTAGTAAAAGCTGACATATTTAGAGTAGTCGATCATCGGAGCGTGAAAGTTTTGAGAATGGTTTGATATAACTGTGGAAAAATGAAGCTACTAAGTAGAGTTCAGACAAAAAATTTGGTCTAAAAATGTTCTGTAGGTGAGGCACAAGTAATAATCGTCTTTTTGTAGTAATTATAAAGGGCTAGTATTAAGCGTTACTTTTATTTTCAAAATCTGTTTATTGAAATGAGAAGTTTATTTGGTTGACACCATTGGCACTGTATTTGATATATATGTAGAATCGTAAAGAGGAGGGTGAGGGCTGTCGTCGCGTTTGCTAAGTAAGCATAATTTGATGGAAATTTGGTAGGACATGGTTGTAATGATATAAGTTCTACTTCATTGTTGGGCAACTTGATTTTCATATGTTTGTTTTATTTTGTTTCTTCTTTTTCGGAAAGAATAGATTAGTTGAGAAGAGGATTTTTGAATTTATCATTTAAAAGTAGTAAAATTTTTTTGGTGCTCGCGCCTGAGTTTTTTCGATACAGATATAATGTTTCAGTTGGTACGTTTTATGGGAATGATTTGCGACAAAAGAGTAGAACAGAAAGAATAAGTCGTATACTTTTTAAATGCATTTACGTTTTGTTATTAACTAGCGAATCTCACTTATGTCGTTTTTGTTTGCATGAATTATTGTTACCAAACCAACGGAGATATCTGCATTTGAAGGGGATAACACTGCTTTGCAGTCACGATAGGCTTTTTTTTTTTGATTTCACCGTTGGCTGTTGCATTAAACATTGAAGTAACTTCAGAGCTTAAAAAAATTTGCATCGGAAAAGGAATTGCACTATCAGAGTTAGTTGCTTGTCGTACTGAGGAGAAGAATTTATCTTTTGGTTTTTTTTTTGCTCCACAGTTCCATAGTTTTACTAAAAATGAACAAATTATGTGCTTTCTGAGCGCAGTTGAGGAGTATGCTGGAGTGTTCAGTTAACAAGTTAATAATTTTTTTCTTTTCAGTTACAGTTAAGTATTTCAAAGATGTTTAATGAATTAAGTTTTTTGTTCATTATCTGCATTTTTTATGTCTTCTGTGTCCTGTATTTTTGTAAAAGTTTGCAGTTAAGACGGTTACGACTGTTTGGCTTGTCTCGTCGTTTGTAGAAACGCGTGAAGTTTTTTTTTTTTTATTGAAATTACTGCACTTACTCGGTAATAATTTTTGTATCAAAGAAGACGGCTCTTTTTTGCATCCAAGAACTTCGAGTGTGATTTCCGAGAGGTGCAGTAGGATTTCCGGGCAATTTGCAGTGGGGCAGTTCTTGTGTTGCGTTTTAATTAAAGCTAAACTTTCGCAGTGGTTTTTTGTGTGCAACTTTAGCGGTATGGGGGGTTAATTTTACGAAGTTATTTGCAGTTAAAAATATCCATTGTTATTTTTTTTTCGTGCTTTTGTTTCTTCAAGACAATGCAGTTGCGTTCCTAATTAGAAGTCTTTTTCATGCTGTTGTAATATTAACATCACCACCACTAATATTATTGCTAGCTACTATTTATTGTTATTATTAATACTAGTTTTTGTTTAACGTCGCTATTATCATTTTTTAACAGTAGAACTTTGGCAGAAAGATCAGAAAAAAGCTGGAAGTCTTGAAGGAGATAATGCATTTGAAAATTTTATTGCTTTTAGCACTGCCTATATTGAATCCACCTAATCTCTGCTTTTTTTATGAACACAACTGTATTAACGGTGAAATAAGTAATAAACTGTTTTATAGTAAGCAGTCGTAAACGCAGTATTTTAGCAAAAAAAAAAAAAGTGCACTCGAAGAGAACCGCAAAACAGAGCAAATGCAAATACTAGTAATAAATTTTTAGTTGGATTTACTGCTCTTCGAGTTGGCGTTGCTGTTGATTTCTTCATTACGAAAGTGGCGAACTGTTTTCTGCTGAAAGTTTTCTCAGTTTTTAGGAAGGATGCAATTAAGAACTTATTGAAATATGCGTGTATATATATATATATATGTATATTTATATGTTATACATATATCTATGTTATATATATGTCACAAAACTATAGTTCTTATGAAGTCCCATCAGAAATGAGTGATGACGTATTGGAAGTGCGTTTATACGCATTCTAAATTTTCCAGTACATTTTGAAAACAGTGAGAGGTAACTGATGACAAACGTTGTTAAAGAACCAAAATATGGGGAACAAAATGTGTTTTTTTTGCAGTGTGGGATGTGTTTGGAAAACTGGCAAATTTAGATGAACACCAAATAAAGAAAAAACCATTTAACACTTCTTTAACTTATTTTTGCAGCCTTTCTTAGATGACCTTGATTTTTAATGTTTTCCGTGGCCAAATTGTTGGCATTTGGGTACAGCCGTTCAAACTCATGAAGTTTTGGAACTACGGGTGCTAGTTAACTTTACGCAGCATTGCCATAGGCGGTTTTCAAAGCGCTTAGCCAAAGCAATTCAGATAACGTTGTCATCATTTACAATTTGTAGATCACAAAATTTTGTTTTTGAAAACTATCACAAGTGTGTACATTTATAAAAGACGCAATTGGGATATTTTTGAGAAAAACAAGCGACAAGCCACAACTGCTTGTGCGTTTTTGAAGTGCAAGAAAACAAGTGTAATGGCGTTTAAAAACGCGGAACGGAATCCGGCTTTGTGAACAGATCGTCTCCGTTTACTATAAAATGATGACAGACATCAATAGACGAACTAATTTCAACGGCGCACCATGACTGTTGGTGCCGAAAGTCAGCGAAGCAGCCTAAAGCCTTTCGCCTTTGCTGCCGTTGTTTTCAGCACGTTCGCAATATCTTCTGTGCTTATAATGTTCCCTCTGATAATGACTCACATACAGACGCTGGAATCTACACTTCAAGGTGACATTGACTTCTGTAAGGTATGCTATTGAAAACGTTAACCAACAATCATTTAATAGAACAAATAGTTCTGACAATGCTTTTGAATCCTTAGTTTTGCATGTATACTTAGCTTTGCTAGTTTGAGGTGCGAAGCTGTTATACTTTCTAAAATTCTTTTACAGTAAATTCGGAAATTTTTTAGTCTCGTGCCCGTGACTTGTGGACAGAAGTTATGGAAATTAAAGCTAATGGTAAATCGAACTCTGAGCGATTGGGAAGACTGATGATGTCGTACAAGGAACTGCAAAAACGTGACACATTGTCAGATTTCTGGAACAGAAAACTTCGGGACGAAGGCTATGATGTCATAGTAGACGGAACTGTACGGCGGATGGAAAGCAGTGAAGGAGTAGGGGGTAGCTGCTGCACATGCAACAGAGGCCCCCCTGGACCACGCGGCCCGCCAGGTACCGACGGTTTGCCAGGATCCGACGGCACACCAGGACCACTTGGACC